CGGCGGAGCGTGGATCAACTTAACCTTTTATGACCTTTCCTTCTGCCTGACATGCATTGTGCAAGCAATTTCGAATCCGGTGGCCAATTTTTGGCACATTTGTCTGTCTGGGAAAGAATATGTTGGGAGTCCAAGTCTGGAGACCCTTCGTTGGAATGACCCGGCGCACTAGTGCGGCTGCCCTAAATCTCGAGGCTAATGAGCCAGGCGAGTGGAACTGGGCGAAATGACAGGAGAAAGTGGAACTTGGCTCTACTGATCGGGCAGATCGAGATGATTACACGCACAAGGGGCCCATGTTAGAGGGGTGGGACTGGCGGGCTCATTCGGGTGGCTACAAGGGGCATCCTTTCAACATGCATCCGACTGTCGGGTGATTTGCGTGCCGACTGACCTCACTCGAGGGTAAAGACGGGCTGTCGTCATGGCGCGATTACTAGACGCCAGAGCATGGCAGCCGACGGTCCGACAGACAGGCAGCGGAAACGCCAGAGAAGAGGGTGCAGAATGTCCGAGGGAGAGACGGAAAAAAGGACTGGAACGAAAGCTGCTGTTGGATAATTAGGCGGGCCTATTTAACAAACATGGGCAGGCCACTTCAGCCCAATCGCCTCTCCCCTCAGACCTTTTTCCCATCTCCACCCCAACGGTCGGGAGTTTTCTGTCCCCCGGGGTACCGGTGAGACACCCTGCCACCAGCAGCCTTTACCTACCCGCCCCTATCCCCGACTGTCCTTCCGACAACACGGTTTGTCTGCTTTCCAAACCACATTACTTCTCCTCACGGCTTTACTCGACCGGCCCTACCATTCCGTCTAGCTCTAGACAAACATGTTTGCCCATTTTCCCTCCCACCTTCGTCACCCAGGCAAAGTACAGCACCATTCCTGTGGTTGCAGTTATCAGTGATCGCGTCTTTCTCCCCTCACCGTCGAAGGATCGGAAATCCCCATTTTTCAGGGGCTCCTTTCACGCTAGTTCACATCACGAATGACCACGAGATCTCAACAACTGGTCCCCTAATTACTCGACCCACTCACATTATTCCGCACCAATGGCTTGATTGCTTATTCTCCACTCTGGGATGTGGGCGTGTTTATATATATATATATGTGTGTGTGTGTGTGTGTGTGT